AGATATTTGCATCTATGTTCATAAGTGACATTCATCTGTAAAATTTTCCACAGTTTATTTTTATATTTTGGTGTCAATGTTATGCTTTATTTCAGAAAAAGAATTTAGAAGTTTTTGTTCTTTCAACATTCTGTGATACCTTAAATATCATTGAATTATCTGTTATTTTAAGATTAAATAGAAATCCACTGTGAAACCATTTGATCTGAGTGCTTTTTTATAATGATGTCTTTCTGCATTTTTTTAATGGAAAATGACCTCTTTGGATCATCTTTCTGTTTTGGGGACAATTTTGGTAAATCATATTATCTCATAAAGTTTTTTTAATCTAAGTATTTAAATGTATTATCATAGAGTTTTTCATATTAGTCCCGTAATTTTTACAAAATTCCTTTACTTTGATAAGTATTTCTTCTTTGTTACTTCTTATTTTGGTATCTGTACTTTCTCCCTTTATAAAAAAAATAGGATTTTCAGTCATTTCTCTATTTTGCTAAATTTTCTACCCAAAGAACCAGCAATTTTATTTAATCCTAAATTCAACGATTTATGCATTTTCTAGCTCATTACTTCCTGCTTTGTAAATTAAATCATTTTTTTTACCTTTTATTTCTATTTACTTTTAGTCTTTCCCTAGCTTTTTGAATTACATGTTTAATCTGCTTACTTTCACTTAAAACTTTTTTGTATGGTCCAAATATTTCACAGTAAAAATTTCCACTGCAGCCCTGCTGTAGCATGTTATTTAGATTCTGATATGTAATAGTTTCTTCATTGTTGTCTTCTGTAAACTCTGGAAACCTTCTGTTGTAATTTCCCTTTAACTCAAAAATTGTTTAATATCCTGTATTTTAATGTACAGGTGGAAAAAAGGCTTTAAAAATGATTTTCATATTCATTTCTAGTTTTATTGCATTGTGGTCAGAGAACACTGTACGAGGTCTTCTTCATTGCCTACTAAGATTTTTGTGTATGTTCCACGTGCTCTTGAAGAGTATGTATCTTCTTTCACCAGAAGTCATGGTTCAACTTAAATTTATAAGATCTGCCTTATGATTATGTTGTTTAGCTCTTATGTGCATTTGAATTATTGCTTCACTGGCTCTGTCTTGGACTAAGAGAGAAGTGTTAAGATGTCCTGTTATTAGTGTATATCTGACTATTTCTTCTTGAATTTCATGTAGTTTCTGCTTTATGAAAGTGGTCGATGTGCTACTAGGTACATAGATATTAAT